TCCCCATCTCTGAACCACTTTCCCTTATTCTTCTTCTCGTTGCTCAGGTGCTCTCCCGTGGCCTATGCTTTTCTCGTCACCCTGCAATTACCCTGTTTCCCCCCCCCCCCCACCCCCCCCTCCTCCCCCCTTTTTCTGGACGCATCATGGCACCCAGCTGTTGCAGCTTGAAAACCTTGTCACCAAGGTTGTGGTAGTGTGCAATTTGTGGCGATTCATTTGTGTAAATTTTCTTACGTTTCATCCATTCTTTATCTAGAGAGACAACACTAGTGCAACCTCTGAAATCAAGAACCGCTTTGTAATGTACTTGCTTTCAGCATGCTCAAGGCAGTTCCTCAAATGACCAATGTGAACCAGAAGACAGTTAATTAGGTATTTATCGAACGGTCTCTATGTGATATCAGTTTCGCTGTCTGATAGTCGAATCTTTTGGTGTGTATGGTGAAGTGCTTTATAATTTCCAGCTTGCACGCGTTCTTACTTGGTGCACTTTGCCTGCGTCTTGCTGCAAGGTGCATATCAGCCCCATGTCTTTTCGTTTTAGCCTCCACGTCTCAATATTTGAGTACGTTTCCTAGTGCCCGAGGTCATTGGGCAGCCTGGGCGTGCACGAAAGTGTTGGTGTAACCCTATGGCTCGCACTCGGCTTGTCGCCCTTGTTCGTATGTGTGCATGCATGGCATGGAGTGACTTGTGAGTCTATGTCATTGCTATCTAGTGCTTGTGTGTGTGCTTGAATGGTGTATCACAATGTGGTGTGTCTCGGTCAAGACATTAGCGAGTTTTCACTACTCGCATGTCAAGTCGTCGTTTGCATGACGCATGCGTTTTTCTATCTTGTCGTGTGTGAAGTGTCCATCGCATCGCAGGTGTGTGCAGCCAGCCCTCATCAACTCAAGAAGAATTTATCTTGCAGAACCAAGACCAAAAGCTGAAGATTTCAAGCCCAAGGGACGTGGATAAAGATTAAAATAGTGAAAATAGTAATGCTACTTCGTGTAGTGTTACATTTCACTTGGTGTAGCCCCTAGCTGGGTTTGTTTTGAGTCTCCTCGTAGTTGGGGACTCTCTGGTGGTGTGCCACCAACCTGGACCTCGGCTCTTGGGGTATGTAGAGACTGGAAACCATCTCAATCTCGATTCTTCTTGCTAAGTTTGTACTTCTAAGGATATAGTGGCTGCCATACCTCCTGCCAGTCAAACCGCCATAGCGTCGTCAAATCTTCATGGAATTTCATGATTCAAATTTCCGCTGATAGACGACAACAAAGCGCTCTAGATCCATCTTACAAATCACTGTTTGAGTTAGCGAGCAGATCGTTATATATATTTGAAGCTGTCTGACGAAAATCCGACTATGCTCTCTATCTCTCATTATAGGCACATCTGAGCCTATTGTGATTATAACAAGTGGTATCAGAGCCCCTTGGAGCCATTTTGACGACGCCTAGACCTGAGGAAGGGGGTGGCAGAGGAAGACGCCCAAGCACAAGGTCAACACCAAGTTCCACCCGTTGCTCCGGTGCAACCTAGCCTTGCCCCCTCTAGGGATGAGCCTAGAGTGTTTGGCCTTGACAAGTTCAACGGTGACAACTTTGCTGAGTGGTCCTTCAAGATGGAGAACATCTTTGACCACTATGATCTGCTGGAGGTGATGGAAGGAACGGAGAAGCGCCCCGAGAACGACCCGGAGAAGAGCCCGTGGGTGCGGAAGAGCGCACAAGGCTACCTTCTACTTGGGCAAGCGTTGGGGAGCAGCCAAATCCGTCACATCAAGCCTTTACAGCGTGAACCATCAAAGGGACCAAAGACATGGGCTGCTCTCAAGGGTGTACATGCTCCTGCAACAGCGGCGGTGGCTGTGGTTTTGGAGCGGCAAATGGTGGCACTTCGAATTGACGAAGGCGAACCGGTGGAGGAAGGAGTGCAGAAATTCTTCGACTTGTTGACACGGCTCGAAGGAGCTGATCTGAACTACAGTGACCTTCAAAAGAAGACCAAGCTGCTGGCCTTACTTCCGGACTCATGGTCCTCGCTCATCATCAACCTAAATCGAGATCTGCCCCGTCTCTCACTCGAAGATGTGAAGCGGGAAATGTTACAGGAAGATTTCCGCCGTCGCGAATTGGCGGGTCACGATAGTGCCAGAGTTGCAAGCATGGGCCATGGGCACGGCCGTGGAAGGGCCAGAGGGCGAGGAGGCAGATTTGGAAGCAGCTACTTCAATGGAGGCCGTGGTAATGGAGGATATGGCAGCAGCAACAACAACAATGGCTACGGGCGTGGGCGCGGTCGATTTGATGGCGAATGTCACTTTTGCCACAAGACCGGCCACATGTGGAGAGATTGCTTCAGATTGCCTGATGGATGGACCCCTTCTCAAGGCCAAGAGGGCAGAGGAGCAAGGGGAGGAAGAGGCAGAAGTCGTGGAGGTCGTGGTGGCCGTGGATGCGAAGCGGCAAGCATGAAAGGTGGAGACTACGAGACGGGCCCGAGTGAAGATCGATACCCGGGCCAATTCTTCTTTGTCTCCATGCAAGCGGCAGCTGCAGCAGGAGGTGTGGAAGGCTTTGAGGATCCAGCTACTGTGGGAAAGGTCACCCTTCACTCTCTGGACTTTTGGGTGATCGATAGCGGCGCCACCTATAGCATGACACCTCGTGCGGACTTGCTCACCGAACTTGAACCGTCGCCGGTCAAGCATGTTACATCGGCTTTGGGGTAGCGAGCAGAGGTGAAAGGCATGGGCAAGGCCATGTTCAAGGGTGCTGATGGGAAGATGGTGGGCCTTAAGAACGTGCTTTGGGTGCCCAACCTTGCAACCATCCTGATTTCCATGCAGTGCTTGCAAAAGGCCGGCATGGACACATCTTCCAAGGGATCCAAAACATATACCGTGAGGCTTGGTGAGCGGAAGCTTTGGGACCTTCATGAGGACAGGGACATCTAAAATGAGATGTGACATATCCCAGTGGTCCCCATGCCTAAAGAGAGGCAAGTGGCAGCAAGCGTCAGCATCAAGAGTGAAGCGGTTGGTGGCGGTGATCACGGAAAACAAGGTGACACCAAGAGTGACTCGAAGGAGTGCAATCTTGGAGGGACCAGCAAGGCGTGTGAAACCAAGGAGAGTGGTGCATCAGCCAAAGGTGGTGGAAATGATGAGGAGAAGCCTAAGATTAGCAAAGCAGCAACGGCGAAGGAGAAAGGAGAGAGCTTGTGGGGCACAATTGCGAGTGCCGCTTTCTCCAACCCGACTTCCGCTACGGGAGAGTGTGATTGGCTGACCTTGCATCGGCGAATGGGGCATGTGGCATTGCCCATTTTGCAGCAGATAGTTAAGCAAGAGATGGTCCGTGGGATACGTGTCAAGGGGGAGCCCAATGAGGTGCTTGGCCGTCCAACATGCATGCAAGCCAAGTTCACCCGCTACCCGTTCCATAGCTCGGAGACAACGGCGAAGGCACCACTCGATGAGGTGGTGATGGATGTGGTGGGCCCCTTGAAGCTTGGAGCTGCTGAAGCAGAGTAATTCCTCACCATTGTGGACGTCTACACTCGCATGACTTGGGTGTATGTGCTGCCCAAGAAGAGTGACGTAGCTGAAACGGTGAAGACCGATTGGTTGCCGATGGTGGAGCGGCAACAAGACCGGCTTGTGAAGGCGATTCGCACTGACGATGGGGGAGAGTTCCTGAGCAAGGAATTCTCAACTTGGCTGAAGAAGCAGGGCATAAGGCACTCTCTCACCATGCCCTACTCTCCTGCAATGAACAGCATCGTCGAGCGTGCGAATGGGACACTCACGGAGAAGAGATTTCAAGTTCATGGAGAACTTACCGTACAAGGAGTGGAAGGCGGAGAACCAAGCGAAGATTGGTGTGCGCCTTGGAAAGGTGAAGAGTACCGGCTTGGAGCATGTGGAGCTGCCCTTGGAGCTGAGTAGCAGCAGTACAATCACGAGGCAATCTCCCCAAATGAATGGGGATGAGGAGGAGGAGGAGGTGCAGCAAGGTGATGAGCGTGCACCGCCACTTCCGCCTCGTGCTACAAGTGCTCGCAGGAACCGACCAGATTTACCGCAACGCCATGAGAGCATTCAAGTCCGTGCAGCAGAGGAGGAAGGAAGGGGGAAGGAGGACTCAGCCCCCTAATAGGTTGAGCTATGACCGGCTTGGAGGACCAGCCAACTCAACCTTGACCGGTTCGGCTCTCATGCTAGGCGTTGATGCGGAAGATGAAAGCGAGGAGTGCGCTTTTGTCTCTTCTCTCCGGTGGAGATGCCGGGGGAGCCTACAAATCCCAAGGAGGCTTGGGACGGCCCCAATGGGAAGGAGTGGAAGAAAGCCTCAGATGAGGAAATGGGGAGCATCATAGAGAACGACACATTTGACTTGGTGAATCTACCTCCGGGGCGGAAGGCAATCTCTTCCAAGTGGCTCTTCAAGCGCAAGACCGACGCCGACGGCAACATTGAGCGCTACAAGAGCAGACTTGTAGCCAAGGGGTATCAGCAGCAAGAGAAGAAGGACTACAATGAAGTGTATGCCCCTGTGGTGAAGGGTACAACCCTTCGAACCCTCTTCGCCGCGGCGGCCATCAAAGGATGGGTGGTGAAGCAAATGGATATAGTAACGGCCTTCCTCAACGGCGTTTTGGAGGAAGAGACCTACATGGAGCAGCCAGAGGGGTACAATGATGGGAGTGGCAGAGTGTGGAAGCTGAAGAAAGCACTCTATGGCCTCAAGCAAGCCCCTAGGCAATGGTACATCAAGCTGCGGGAAGTCTTGGAGGCGATCGGCTTCACTCCCTCAACGGCCGATCAATCATTGTTCATGCTTGGCGAGGGGGAGCAGAGGAGCTTTATGGTGGTTTATGTGGATGACATCCTCATATTCTCACCCTCCCCTGACATTGTGAAGGAGGTGATGCTGAAGCTTCAAGACAAGCTCAAGTGCAAGACCCTTGGTGATGTCAACTACTACCTTGGGCTTCACATTGAGCGAGATGTGGAGAAGCGGCGGATGCGAGTGCATCAAAAGAAGTACTTGGAGGCCTTGGCTACAAACTTTGGGAAGAGTGAAGGTCATGTGGCTACTCCTCTTCCCTCAGGGTTCAAGTGTGTGAAAGGACCAGCGGAGGAAAGTGTTGGTGAAGAGGAGAGGCGCCGTTTTCACTCCTTGGTGGGCAGCCTCATGTATGCGGCCGTTCACACAAGGCCGGATGCAGCCTTTGCTACCGGGCAGCTGGCCAGGGTTGTCCAATGCCCTAATGAAGAGCAGGTAGTAGCTGGAGAGAGAGTTGCCAAGTATCTTGGCCAAACAGCAACTGTTGGACTGCAATACTCCGCGGCGGCACATAGGCGTCAAAAGGGTGCGGATGGAGTCGAACGCGGGAGGCTCTTTCTTTCCGCTTTCTCTGATGCATCTTGGGCATCAGATTTAGAGGATATGGCAAGTGTGGGAGGCTTCATCTGCTGTATTGGTGGAGGCCCAACAGCTTGGGAGAGCAAGAAGCAAGTGGACCAAGCATTGAGCTCAGTGGAGTCCGAGTACATGGCACTCTTCTGTGCCATAAGGGAGGTTGTGTGGCAGCGGCGCTTGCTAGCTGAATTGGGGGAGGAGCAGCAAGGACCTACCCCACTCTATTGTGATAGCCAGGGTACTGTTGCATTGGCGAAAAACCCCGTACTTCGTGGCATTACCAAGCACATGAAAGTGAAGTGGCATTGGGTGAGGAGCATGGTAACCGCGGGTGAAGTGGAGTTGCACTACGTGAAGACGACGGCGCAGCCAGCTGATATGATGACCAAGAGGCTGGTTGAGCAGCAACATTGGAAGTGTTGCAAGCTTGCTGGGATGGCTCTGAACTAAGGGGAGCAGATTCTAAGGCCAACAATCCGATGGGGAGTTTGTTGTTGCAAACCTATGGCTTGCACTCGGCTTGTCGTCCTTGTTCGTATGTGTGCATGCATGGCATGGAGTGACTTGTGAGTCTATGTCATTGCTATCTAGTGCTTGTGTGTGTGCTTGAATGGTGTACCACAATGTGGTGTGTCTCGGTCAAGACATTAGCGAGTTTTCACTACTCGCATGTCAAGTCGTCGTTTGCATGTCGTCTGTGTTTTTCTATCTTGTCGTGTGTGAAGTGTCCATCGCGTCGCAGGTGTGTGCAGCCAGCCCTCATCAACTCAAGAAGAATTTATCTTGCAGAACCAAGACCAAGAGCTGAAGATTTCAAGCCCAAGGGACGTGGATAAATATTAAAATAGTGAAAATAGTAATGCTACTTTGTGTAATGTTACATTTCACTTGGTGTAGCCCCTTGCTGGGTTTGTTTCGAGTCTCCTCGTGATTGGGGACTCTCTGGTGGTGTGCCACCAACCTGGATCTCGGCTCTTGGGGTATGTAGAGTCTGGGAACCATCTCAATCTCGATTCTTCTTGCTAAGTTTGTGCTTCTAAGGATCTAGTGACTACCATACCTCATGCGAGTAAAACCGCCATAGCGTCGTCAAATCTACATGGAATTTCATGATTCAACTTGCTGCTAATAGACGACAGCAACGCGCTCGAGATCTTATTTTTAGATCACTGTTTGAGTCAGCGAGCAGATCGTTATCAATATTTGAAGCTGTCTAACGAAAATTCGATAGTGCTCTCTATCTCTCATTATAGGCAGATCTGAGCCTATTGTGATTATAAGAAGAACATCGGGGCCATCGGCTGCTGCTGGCTATCATTCCAGCCCACCGCTGACGCCTCCAGCAGCGGCGGCGGCTGCCAGCTTGGCAGCGTCCCCGCGGATGGCGGCCCCATCGGCGCCGCCTGAGAACGCGTTGGGTAGTGCAGGATGGGTGCCTGCTGTGGCGGGTACTGGGGGACGGAGGGAGGCGGCGGCTGCAGGTGCTGCTGGTAGGACGGAGGTTGTTGCGTTGCAGACATGTGCGGCGACAGGGGTTGAGGTGGCATCTGAGGCGGGACGAACTCCGATGGGTGCATCTGCACCGACGGATACTGCTGCGGGGGATACATAGGTGGTGGCTGCTGCGGGGCAACCGAGCGGAATAGGTTCTCCAACGTCGCTTCGGCACAGCCCAGCCACCTCTCTGCGGCTGACCCCCGACCGTTCCCGCCGCGAGCCCTCCACCTGCGGCGCTGATCGGGCTGCTCGTTCTGCCCGTGCGGCGTCCGGTGCTGCTGAGCAGGCGGCGTGTGAGCCGCGCGCTGGGGCGTTCCTTGGCGCGGCGGCCCCATCTGCTGCTGCTGCTGCTGCTGCTGCTGCTGCGACGCCACTCTCTGCCGACCATGGGTTGCGCGCTCAGGGGTCTTCCGCTGCGGAGTCGATCTGCGGCTTCCCGACCACCCAGTCATGCGCTCTGGGTTCTGATGGCGGCTCGTCAATGGGACAGGGAGCCCGCGCTTCCAATCATGGTTTGACTGCAGGGGGGAGCTCTCCCAACCTCGGTGAGGGACGCTCTCCCCGATGCTCTCCAGATTGTAGGAATGCTCGCAATGGGGACTCTCCCCCTCCTCACGGGGGGAGTCCATCGCGTATGCACCATCCACGGCCTCCCCTGCACCGCGGAACGGACGGCGCGCTTCGGCTGGAGGGACGGAGGGACGTGATGGGGGTGGCGGAAGCGGCACACGGGGCTGAGGATGCCGAGGGCGCGGACGTGGAAGAGGTCGCGTGATGGCGGCCTGCTGAACGGTTACCAGAGCGCAGCTAATTGGGCTTTAAGAAGAGCAGGAAGAAGGTCTCAAGCCGCATCTAGAAATTTGGGTCGTGAAGGAGGGAACCATCAGAGCCATAATCAGGGGGGCCCGCTGGCTGCAGCCAACCAACCACGTCGCCAACTTTTACCAGCAAAGCTGGCTGCTGACGTCCCCCGCAAAATAGCGACAGCTGTCAGCAGCCAATCTCCTGCAAAGTCCCAACTCCACTTCGACCCCTATTCGCTCTCACCATCCTGACACCTTTGCTCCACCTATCGAAAAACCTAGAGTCAGTGCTAGGGTGGACTGTGTTATTTTTCGTACCGCGCCTGATCGTTCGCCTGGCATCGCCAAAGCGCCCCGATTGGAAATTGGTGGAGGATTGCCTGCAACAATTCTTGGCAGGTGAATGGGAGGACTTGTACCAGGAAAGCATTGCCGCGATTCACTCGCCAGCCCCGCCACGTCACGTCCATGACAAGATCGGTACCATCGCCAGGGCAGACCACCTCGCCCAGGAGTCAATGCCTGTCAGCTTGCCCTCAATCGAGATGTTGACCGCACTTAAATCGAAGCATCCAGCTGTGCTACACGAGCAGCTGGATTGGCTTGCTACTACAGGGTCTATATTAATAACAAGAAAGGAGGACTTCATGAAGATACTGTCAACATCTGAGAACAGAGTGGGAGCAGGCCCTTCAGGTACCTACTTCGAGCACCTTCGTGACGCAGCCTTGATGGACGCAGACGTCGCGACTCACCTCCACACCCTCGTCAATACCGTCCTTGGCGGCTGCCTGCCGGATACCATCGCCGCACTCCTTACCGCCTCCTGCCTCCTCGCCTTCTCCAAACCGGATGGCGGTACGCGTCCAATAGCGATTGGGGAATGCTTGCTACGGCTCGTGGCCAAAGCCACACTCATCCTCCTAGCTGACGTGGCCCAAGAATTCTTCCTCCCATTGCTGTTTGGCGTCGCCGTGCTGAGGGGCAGGGAGACGATTGTTCACCTCGCCTGTGGCTTCCTGATGGCCCATCCCGAGGCGCTGGTCCTTCAAGTGGACATGGCCAATGCCTTCAACAGCGTCGACCGTGCCGCTATCATCCGCGCCCTCGTGAACACACCTGTCCACGGCCTCCTCCCGCTGCTGCGCCCCTCGTACGGTCGCCCTTCCCTTCTTCACCTTGACGCTGCCTTTGAGAGCTTGCCCCTTCGTAGCGAGCAAGGGGTGCGTCAAGGGGACCCGCTTGGCCCCCTGCAATTTGCCGTAGGGATTCACCCCGCCCTCCAAGCCACAGCTGCTGCCTTCCCTTTGGTCCTCTGCATGGCCTACGCAGATGAATTCACCTTCTTGGGTGATCCGCAAAGCTGCTCCACCGCCTTCAACCACTTCACGGAGGCCCTCCGCCCCCACAGCCTCTCCCACAACCCGGCCAAGTGCGCTGCTTGGTCCACCGCCCGCCGGCCGCCAGACCAGCTCCCCCAAAGGGATCCCCTTCTCCCCCCGATGGCCTGCGCATCCTCGGCAGTTTCATTGGGCCAGCAGCAGGGGCTGCGGCCTTTCTGCCGGACAAAATGGCAGAGCTGGCCAAGCCCCTACACATGATTGCCAGCATGGACGCCCAGGTCGCCTTCCTCCTGCTCTCCTGCTGCCTCTCTCGACGGGTCTCCTACCTGATCCGCACTACCCTCCTCGAGTCCCTTCCCCTCGAGGAGTGGTCGCAGTGGGGCAAGGACCTGCTTCTCACCCTCCTGGTGGCCTGCAACCTTCGCCTCCCTCACAGGGAGGCCGAGTACGCGCGTGTCTAGGCACAAGCCTCCCTACCGGCCTCTCTGGGGGGAGTGGTTCTGACAGACCCCGCAGTGGAAGGTCCCCGCAGCTTCCTTACCAGCTTCACCCAGGCCAGCCAGCTCCTCGCGGCTACCTCCCCGAAAGCAGCTTCCCCCCTCGCCTCATTGCTGGAACCAATGCAGCCGCCCTTCCAGCGGCCAACCCCCCTCCACTCCTGGCTCTCCAGCTGCGAGAGCTCACTCCCCTCGGAAGTGAGAGAAAGGCTCGCCGCAGAGCAACTCTGCCCCTCAGGAAAGCCCCTTCAGCACACGCTCTCCCTCGCTGTACATGGCCAGCGCTTCGCCGTCTAGCTCGCTGCCTCCCGTGCCATGGATCCCAATCACCTCATGGGCCACACCCAGCGCCTCCTCTCCCTGACAGGGTATGGGGCAGAGGATTGTCTCCACGCCATCCCTGTCATGCCCTCCCTCCGCCTGAGCACCTCCCACTTCGCCATAGCCCTAGGATTCCGCCTTGCGCTACCCTTCTCAACTACAGAGATTTGCGACTGCTGGAAGAAAGCCCCGATCCCCGACCCGTGGCTACCTAACCACCTCTTTCATTGTGGTTTTGGGACGGGGAGGACTACCACGCACAACACTCTCCGGAATGAGTGTGTGCGGATGGCCCAAGACGCGGGGTTCATCATGCACAAGGAGACAATGGCCCACTCACCTGTGGAGGGGAAGAAGGCGGACCTGGCGGTCCGTGACCGCGAGTCCGGCGTTGTCTGGGTCTGTGATGTCACTGTCACGGATCCCATCAGCAAGAGGGACGAAACTGCGAGGAAGGGATGGGAGTGGGCAGCCCGGGAGGCTGCCGATAAGAAGATCGACCACTACTTGTCCCGCCCGAACTATGTTGGGCTGTTTCCACTAGCCGTGGAAACCTATGGATGCCCATGCAGGGATATTCCCACCTTCCTCAAGCTCCTGGCGGACACGGCCGCCAGGAAGCTCTTCAACGCGGAACCCGCCACCTGCTAGGCTCCTCCACCAGTTCCGGCAGCGGTGGCCTATGGCTTTACAATGCAGCCAGGGCACGAGCTACCTCATCAAGCTCAATGCCGCAGCGCATGTTGAGAACCCCCAGTTGAATCACATGCTAATGGCCTCTCCCTCGGGGATTGTTTCGCCATCCTGGAGCCCTTGGTGGAGCCCCACTGGGCTAGTCGTACCTTTGCCACTGCTTGCTTGACTGTACTTGCCCATGCCTACCACGCACCATGTACCTCATCTTTCTATCATTACAAGGACCGCTTGAGAGAGAGAGAAAGAGAGAGAGAGAGAGAGAGAGAGAGAGAGAGAGAGAGAGAGAGAGAGAGAGAGAGAGAGAGAGAGAGAGAG